CATTGGATCCAGACTTGACATTTGGGATTCAGACATTCCGACGAGGGACTATTTGGGCTTGTGCCGAAGACTTGGTGTTGACGACATTCCCATCTGCCAGGCTTAGGTGTACTAGCGGTCTAAACGACCAGTATGTTTCTCGGCTAGAAAATCAAAGTCGCGGCGCGCATGCTGCCGCGACTCTCACGAAGTACCGGGGCGCTGTTTCGCAGCATATCAATCTAGGCAAAACGGGTCGCATGTGAGGCGCGTTTGTGTGGACGGATGGCCTGCGAAATGGCACCCGGCACTTCCCGAGAGTTGCGCACCGCGACTTTGATTTTCTAGCCGGGAAATGTACTCGTGGTTTACACATCACTTCATATTCAAAGATCAGCCGGCTATAACGTGGACCAGATTCGTTGAACCCAGCCTGCTAGACAAGATGTAATGTTTATCACAGCGCCAAGTAAACCCATGCATATAGAATGGAACAGACCCAGGTCCACATTCGGTGAACCCACCGAGGTTCACAGTCGGTGAAACTGGTTCAGATGCTAGACCAACGTGGTGTATGCTCCACAAACCTGGTTGTGTATTTCATGAAGGGTTAATCCATCCAATGAACCTGGTTTGCATTCTTTTTTATGAATGATGCATTCTACGAGGCCGCCGACATTCAATGAATCTGGCTTTGCTTTGCATTTCGACCCATGATGACAGCCCATTGTACCTTGTACCTGGTTCCTTAATTTGTTTCGATCGACAATCATCAATTTTGGATATTATTTTCTCGATGACACAGGTCCTTGACAACTTGCCGCATGATCGCGTCGTGTACGACCATCGATCTGGAAAGATGATGGAGACGGTGGTGCAGTCTCGATGCGTGGGAGAAGGAGGAGGAGGAGGAGGAGGTGACCAGCAGCTCGTGGAGCGTCTTCGACCCGTCCAGGACCCTGTAGTTCTAGCCTGTTTGGATATAATGGGTGGGCGGCTTCACGATCTCCTCCGTCCAATGGCAGTCGAGACGGCGCCGGCGAGTGCAAAAAATGCATCATCTCAATCCTGCCAATCGGTTGATCTCCCTGATTCCGGAGGCGGCAGTAGCACGAAGAGAGAAGGTGTGGGAGGCGCAAAGAAGTCTTGGCTGTCTTCGGTCATCGAAGCTGGGAGGTCCCAATTTGCAAATATTGGAAGGAAGAACGCCGAGATTGTCTGGATCCCAACCGGAGCTCTGGTAGGGGTGATCCCAACTGTATGACCTTCCTCTTCGCTAATATCCTGTCGCAAAACTTTGACATGCATCCCTTTCATTTGATTTCGTATGATTCTATTTGATTCCATAAGATTTGGATTCGTTTTGGGTTGATTTGGGATTTGATTTTATTTGATTTGGATTTGATTTGGATTCGATCTGGGATTCCATGGGTTCTGATTTGAATTTGGTTTGATTTGGGTCTGATTGGATTGGATTGGACTGGATTTGGGATTTGATTTGGATTGGGCTGGATTGAAGGTTGCCAATTGTGTGTATGTGAAAACGCGTGTGAAATTGTGTCTGCGGTGGTGCACCTCTATCGTCACAGAGAACTTTCGAGTGAACTCTCGGGAGAGAGGGAGACGAGGACAACAAACGAGGGGCTGTGGCGGACTGCTTCGTCGGAGTTTCACCTGTGTGTGTGTGTGTGTGTGTGTGAAAACGCGTGTGAAACTGATTGTGTGCGCGCCTCTACATCCTCATAGAGAACTTTCAAGTGAACTGTCGGCAGAGAGGGAGACGAGGACAACAAACGAGGGCTGTGGCGGACTGCTTTGTCGGAATTTCACCGCTGTGTGTGTGTGTGTGTGTGTGTGTGTGTGTGTGTGTGTGTGAGAGAGAGAGAGAGAGAGAGAGAGAGAGAGAGAGAGAGAGAGAGAGAGAGA